TTCTGCGTTTAGTTTTTCATGTGTTATTTGTCAATATCTGCGTGTTAAGTTTGTGTAAGAGTCAGAACCTGTTACGAGTTACTCGATCATTTCGAACAACACTACAATGAATACTGACTGAATGACTGACTTATTCTAAATTCCACTTAGAACAAAAAGCGTTCATAAAACTTGAACGAGTAATATTCACATGGTTCTCACAAAAGTGTGAGTTCTAGGACTTTTCGAGGACATGTTTTTTTTCAAGGACAATCTGTGACAAGTAGTTTTCGCTTTTTAGAGCATATACCTTAGATTCATATATAAAGTAAAAATAATTGATTTACACGAGTGCCGACAGCAGATTAAACAGCCGCTTTAGCTCGCCGATTAACGATGTACACAATAGTTCTCTCATATTGTCATTCACGTCGATTCATGTCACAGTCCTGTAACAATATGTAAAGCTTTGATGTAACATGTATCACTGAGAACTATGTATCACACAATGTTCACTCAGAAATTGTGTATCACTCAGAAATTTATTTTAAATAATTTTAATTGCTCAACACTATTGCATTTTTTCTCCATGAATTGTTCTCCATGTATTTGTAATTGAATTACATGCAATAAAGATTTAATAATAATAATAATAAACAGTTGCAGGTTCTTTACGCTGACCTTTCATCTGCTGTGTCAAGCAGTAACATTAACAGTGGATAAAAGTAATCACTTATTCCCTACTATCTGCGAGAGGGGGAGGGAAATAGTGAGGGGAAGGGAGTAAGAGGGACGGGGTGAAGGAGGAATGCAGACGGAGATGTGCACACGCATGCGCAGTCACACACGCAGACAAACGCACGTACGGCACAAACGGTAGACAGTACTACTAGACACACAGGCACGGATGCACATGCATATTCCTTCTAATATAGTTACTTCTCTCGCTTTCCTCCGCTCACCCTCTCCCTTGCACTCGCGCGCTCTCTCTCTCTCTCTCTCTCTCTCTCTGTCTGTCTTTCTCTCTCTCGCAATATTTCTCTTCACGCGCGCACGCACGCACGCATACACATACACACACTCGCGCAATTTTTCTCTCTTTCGTGGGCGCTATATATATATACAGGAGACAGGAGTCTATCTATTGATAGACTCCTGATATATATATATATATTCGGTTCTCGCCGTTTCTTCTTGCGCACTGCCTCACACCCCTCTCGCGGATGGTATCGCCCATGACCAGTCAAGCATGGAAAAACTTTTGCAGGTAAATGGCCGTATTTCAGCCGAAACTTTTTCACTAGCCGAGGCACAAAATGTGAATTTACGCCTATAATACACGCGCACGCGTGCGTGCGACCATACCCGCGTGTGCGCATCCGTTAGTGGGTGTGTATGTGTGTTTTTGTGACTGTAAAAACGCGTATTATAGCCGTAAATCCACATTTTGTGCTTTTGGGAGTGAAAAAGTTCAGGCTGAAATACGACCATTTGCTCGTGAATGTTTTTTCATGCTTGACTGGTCATGGGCGATACTATCCGCGAGAGGGGAGTAAGGAAGTGACAGAGGGACAGAAATTGTCGCGTCCGTAATGTGCATATATGTATCTATGTAAAACCACCTGGATCTACACGAGTGTCTCGTTAGTACATCTAGTTAGAGCTCTAGCCTTTCAATTATGAAACTGGGGTTCAAATCCCCATTAATTCTTTGCTAAAATATTTTCTAACTTGTGTGAAGGTAAACGTGTTGCTAACATGTATTCAAAGCATATTACGAACGCACGCACACACGTTCAACACTGAAATGGAAATTGTGCGACGCGCGTGTGTGCGTGTGTGCGTGTGTGTGTGTGTGTGCGTGCGTTCGTAATATGCTTTGCATACATGTCTGCAATACGTTTACCTTTACACAAGTTAGAAAATATTTTAGCAAATAATTAACAGGGATTCGAACCCTAGTTTCATAATTGAAAGGCTAGAGCTCTAACTAGATGTACTAACGAGACACTCGGCTAGAGCCAGGTGGTTTTACATAGATACATATATGCACATTACGAACGCGACAATTCCTTTCCCTCTGTCACTTTCTTACTCCCCTTTCGCGGATAGTATCGCCCATGACCAGTTAAGCATGGAAAAACATTCACGAGCAATTGGCCGTATTTCAGCCTGAACTTTTTCACTCCCAAAAGCACAAAATGTGGACTTACGGCTATAATACGCGTTTTCAGAATCACATAATCACACATACACACCCACTAACGGATGCGCACACGCGGGTATAGTCGCACGCACGCGTGCGCGTGTATTTTAGGTGTAAATTCACATTTTGTGCCTCGGGGAGTGAAAAAGTTGGAGCTGAAATACGGACATTTTGCTGCGAATGTTTTTCAACGCTTGACTGGTCATGGGCGATACTATCTGCGAGAGGGGAGTAAGGAAGTGACAGAGGGAAAGGAATTGTCGCGTCCGTAATGTGCATATATGTATCTATGTATATAAAACCACCTGAATCTACACGAGTGTCTCGCTAGTTCATCTAGTTAGAGCTGTAGCATTTCAATTATAAAACTGGGGTTCGAATACCCGTTAATTCTTTGCTAAAATATTTTCTAACTTGTGTAAAGGTAAACGTATTGCAGACATGTATGCAAAGCATATTACGAACGAACCCACGCACACACACATACACACACTCACGCAATTTTGCTCTTTCTCGGGCGCTATATATATATATATATATATATATATATATCATCATCATCAGTAATAGTCAATTAAATATCACACACCATAACAGTTTCTTATCGTTTTTTCTACAGAACAGATATAACGATATTTTTATTGGATAAATGACAACTGCAGGGCAATGCACAAACGAATCAAACAGCTTGGCATTATAAGTATGCACGTCAAAACTTCACACGCAATCAATAAAAACTGGAAACGGTGCCAGACTAACTAAACGTTTTCCTTCTCCTACGATAATTAGGACATCTGGATTCGACTGTGGCCAAACCGTGGACCGCCATCCCGAGACGCGACAACCAGCACAACCCGTCTGTCTAATGCCTCCGCTGAATGTTCTCACAGAAAACAAGGGCCGGCTTCTACACAACTACTATGGAACCAACCTCTATATCATAGTACTGCTAATCATACACACACACCCACAGCCTTCGTGTCGAGCCATTCCTCCAGTAAAAACGTACACAAGCAAAAAACGTGATATTCATACTACTCCTAAACCTAGTACATGTTTTGTTATCGTTAATCCCACATAAAAGAGACGTGACTACAAGTTCGAATATCAAACGCGTGCGAAAATATATACAACCAGAGCAAAGAACCGACCTCTGAAATACAAATGCATGCTTCAACGAACAATTTCCAAAAGTAAATGTATTCTCGTAGTCTCGTAGCGAACCTCACATCATGATATTCATTGCAAACAGAACTCTGGAGGGCAACGAATCCTACCTAGGTTCGCCACATATAGGCTGCAGAGAATTTCTATATATTCAACTCGAACACTGTGAACAAATTCACTCTCTCGATTATAGTACGATCAATAATTATTTAATACTGATATAGTACATTCAGCGGCAATCCCAGTATGTACACACCAGATACGTGCCATAGACCATCTGCTGAGGAAAATTTCACAGAATTACTGTTTATAACCAGCAGATGGCGTTACATGCACAAGCTCTGCCTTATCTGTCATTTGCTGCGTGAAGCCAATGAAAAGCAGTTCGGACAACAACTTAGCATGCAGGTTTTGACTCTATACACGAACCGCATGCACTGATATATGTATGCACTGAGTACCATTACCAAAATTCCTTATCAAAATTTAATTCATCACCCAACCAGCAGATGGCACCACCACCCGCACACGAGCCGCTGACAGCAGCGGCTGCAGAGAACTATTGCTGATGTCACTCATAACGTAAACAGTTAGATATTGTCAAGACAGTAAGTAGAAGTTCAGAAGCTCTTCGTACAAATATGCAATGCAAGACATGCTTTCTGGGTCTAGCATACTGCACATACAGAAATGACAGAAACACGCTGAAGGCCCCATCCTTCCGCGTGCAAAATGTATTTGGGTCGATGTGAAATGCACCATTTCAACGCTACACGAAATAATGTAATGAAATATTGCATTGCCCCGTATACATTTCTTTGCTCTGAACTCTCAGCGATATCTCAGGCCGCATCATTACTCTAGACTACCTTTAAAAGTATTTGCCAACAACTAACTACAATGTTATAAAACAAACACTCAAAGTGATAGTCTGTAAATAAATGTACACTGTTAAAATGAGCAAGTAAAGTGTCTATCTAGTGCCGTCGGTGCCAGTGAGAGAGTTAGTAGTAGCGGTCTGTAGATGGCGCCACTACTGATGGTCCATGATAACAACAGGTACCTGGATGACTGACTGTGACTGGCCATCTTCTGCAAAAAAACACAAGTTCGCAAACATGAGTGAGATACTGGGACGCCTGATCGACTCTCCTCTGTTCTACCATAAGCACACGACACTTCCATTCTTCAACACCTTATGTGGACCTATGCTCCCCCATCCATCTTTAGGTTAGGTGTTAATCGTCGAATTTTATCAACAATTCTCTAATCCCAGCTGCCTCTGGCTGCTATAGCAGGGTTTCTTATACATAAGAGGCACAGTGGCGCACCGCCGTTGTCAAATTTAACATCGCCGTTGTGAAAATGTTTCTGTGTTTACCTGCTGTTGTCAAAACAGTGTCAACCCAAAAATAAATAGATCACCACGCGCTTCTGGCATATTTAGATTGCCATGTGCGTTTATTGGGTCATGTGACACGGGGTCTACACTTTTACTACGGCCTACGGCACGCCTTTGAATCCATCAAGCGCGTTTTTCTCCCAAAACTGGCCATTACCTCCTTTGTCCAATTTTCCCTCAAAAGAAACCCTGTAAACTGCATAGTCATTCTCTAACCATACCTTTTCCTCCCTCTCTGCACACCTACCGTCGCCCTCTCTACAACACTGTACTGTAACAGTCAGCCACACCTACCTCCACCCTCTCTACAACACTGTACTGTAACAGTCAGCCACACCTACCTCCACCCTCTCTACAACACTGTACTGTAACAGTCAGCCACACCTACCTCCACCCTCTCTACAACACTGTACTGTAACAGTCAGCCACACCTACCTCCACCCTCTCTACAACACTGTACTGTAACAGTCAGCCACACCTACCTCCACCCTCTCTACAACACTGTACTGTAACAGTCAGCCACACCTACCTCCACCCTCTCTACAACACTGTACTGTAACAGTCAGCCACACGCACAGCTACCCCCGCGCCGCTCTGCTACAGACGACTGTACTGTAAACAGTCGCACACCCCTACCTCCGCCCTCTCTCACAACACTGTAATGTAAGCAGTCAGCCGACCCTACCTCCACCGCTCTCTACAACACTGTAATGTAAACAGTCAGCCACACCTACCTCGCAGCGCCTCGTTCTCCACACACTGTACTGTAACAGTCAACGCACACCTACCTCCACCGCCTCTCTACAACATGTACTGTAAGCATCAGCCACACCTCCTCGTCACCCTCTCCTACAAGCACTGTACTGTAACAGTCAGCCACACGCTACCTCCGCTCTCTACAACACTGGTACTGTAACACGTCAGCCAACACGCTACCTCCGCCCTCTCACAACACTGTAGCGGTAACAGTCCAGCACACGCTACCTCCACCACTTCTCTACAACACTGTACTGTACAGACAGTCAGCCACACCTACCTCCACCCTCGTCTAACAATGTATCTGGTAACAGTCAGCCAACACCTACCTCCACGCCCATCTACAACACTGTACTGTAACAGTCAGCGCACACGCCTACGCTCGCACCCTCTTAAACACTGTACTGTAACAGTCGAGCCACACCTAAGCTCGCACCGCTCCTACAACAGCTGTACGTAACAGTCAGGCCACACTACCTCCAACCCTCGTGCGTACAACACTGTAGCTGTACAGCAGTCAGCCACACCTACCTCACCCTCGTGCTACAACAACTGGACTGTAACAGTCAGGCCAATACCTACCTCCGCCGCCCTCTCTACAAAACACTGTACTGTAACAGTCAGGGCACATCGCTACCGCCGCCCTTCTACAGAACCTGACTGTAACAGTCAGGCCGAGACCTACCGCCGCCCTCCTACAAACGGTAACTGTAACGAGTCAGCCACACCGCTACCCGCCGCTCTCTACAACATGTACTGTAACAGTCAGCCACAACTCCTACCTCCACACGGCTCTCTAACAACACGTACTGGTAACAGTCAGGCACACCTGTACCTCGCAGCGCTCTCTACAACATCGTATGTAAACAGTCAGCCACACCTATCTCCAACCCTCTCTACAACAGCTGTACTGGTAACAGTCAGCCACACCTACCGCCGGCCCTCTTACAACACGTGTACTGTAAACGCGTCAGCCACACCTGCAACTCCACCCTCTCTACCAACTACTGGTACTGTAAGCAGTCAGGCCACAACCGTACTCGCACCCTCTCTACAACACTGTCACTGTAGAACAGTCAGCCACACCTACCTCCACACCCCTCTCTACAACACTGTACTGTAACAGCCAGCACACCTACCGCCGCCCTCTACACACTGTACTGTAAGTCAGCCACACCTACCTTCCCGCCCTCTCTACAACACTGTACTGTAACAGTCAGAGCCCAGCACGTAACCGGCCGCCTCTCTACAAACACTGTATCTGTAACAGTCAGCCACACCTACCTGCCAGCCCTCTCTACAACACTGTACTGTAAGCAGTCAGCGCACACCTACCTCCCACCCTCTCTAACAACACGTACTGTCAAGGTCGGCCCACCTACCTTCCACCCTCTCTACAACACTGTACTG